GGTTTAAGCATCGTGCATAAGACTGACAGTTCTAGGTTCGATTCCGTGTGCAAGTTTTGGGGTACTGTACTGAGGAGCACTATATTAAGACAAGATGGGTGTCCAAATGATCTAGGTTTTCAGTGCTGCTCTTATTGATAAATATAATACTATATTATATATATGGATATCCTTCCGCTTAAACAATAAACTTAATTGTTGTTTCTACCATTCTTCGTGTTGGTCTTCAGATAATGATTCTTTATTTTTTGAAGATTTAGAACAATTGAATGTTACAAATGAACAAAAATGTCAACAAGACAATACATCACATGACAAAAAACAATACAACATCACTAATGTAAAACTACTGTTGAATTAAATACGCGTAATTCTATTCCAATGAGTACACTTGGTACCACTTCTACTATTATACTACTACAACAAGTAATAGTATTAGTAATATACATTCGAATTAGGTCAACAACTTCCACAGAATTTACATAAACGTTACATATGTCCAGATTCAACACTTAATCGATATACCTATGTAAATAAATCAAATCAAATGGATTCAATATCAAAGTCTACAACGATAACAGGTACGGTACAACAACAATCAATCCCATATCTCTCTACACAACATAGACATTCTACCTCATTATGTATAGGAACTAATATTAATAATAATGAGAATGATTTACATGATGCAATGACAAACTGTTTTATTACACCAATATGTAGTACGGATAGTTATTCTCCTATTATTAATACAATCGATGAAGCTCGTGCAGTTTTAGTTACTACTGTTACTACAATGACAACTACTAATATTATTACTGCCACTACAATGAACTCTATTAATACTTCTTCCTCTATTCTACATGGTCGTAATAATTCCAATGTATCATATTCAACAATAACTTCACCAATAATTACAACAATAATAACACCAGATATAAATATTACGAATTCTAGTCCATTATTAACATCATCATCATCATCATGTATTCAACCGACAAGTCCATTATCATTTTCAATGTTACATCGATTCAGTAGTAATATGGGTTTATTTAATTCAATTAACAATAACAATAATAATAATACATGTATTAATGACAAAACAGATTATGGTAATTTAGATTTTCGTTTAATATGGGAACCAAAAAATGGTCAACCAACAAGTATATGGCTTGTTGCATCAACATTACAAGAGAAAGCTGCATGGTGTTCTGATATTAGTCAAGTAAGTTAGTTAGTTAGTAGTTAATTAGTTGAACAAACAATATTGAAAACTTGAAAACTCTGGTAGTCTAACAGATTAGTTCATTTTGTCAAAAAAGAACAATCTTAAACTTTTGAACTTATAATTGGGTAAGATTGTAAACTCATGCCCAACCCTCCTCCTTATCCGGGCTTTGGACCGGCAGTAGTCCCCGGAGGGACCCTAGACGGAGTTTTGCTCGCTTTGCTGTAAACTCATCTAAGTAGTGATAATGAATATGGTTAGTACTTGGTTCAAATGGTTGGTTATCCGTAACATTTTGAAGATTTAATAAGTGTCTTGTATTTAGTAGTTTTAACCACCTTTCAACTGATTTACTGAGTATCTTTTGAGTATCTTTTTACTGAGGATTTCATTTCAAACAAATGAGGAAACCACGAAACCATAGTCGACTATGAACATACTAGTGTGGCATAGATTAATATGTGGGATGGAAAACATAAGTATGATGGAAATTTGGGCCACAAATAAAATTCTAGTAAGAATTACATACAAGTATGCAATGTTTACTTACTAACTGAAATGAAATATGATTGAAAGTGACTGATACAACACTTTTATTGATCCTGTGAACGGATACAAATAGCCTCAATGATTTGTTTTACTGAATGGTTGAACAAAATGTGTCATCTAGTGAATTTTGACTAAATGGTTCAAAAGATTTCATTCTCAACATTAAACCTGATGATTACTGATTTCGGTTAAAATTGGTGTTATTATTATTATTATTAATGGCTTTATTCAATATTATATTTGAGGTACAATATAGAATTCTCAACACAAGGTATTTCAACAAGTTTCTTACACACAAAAAACAGAAACAAAGACAAAGAGGGAAATAAAGGTTTAAAAAAAATCTGAAAAACTGTACAACTTTTCAAATTAGAGACATGTTAAGAATGCAGATTATTGACTAGGTTAACTATAACAACCTGTTCGTCACAGAGTATATTTGCTAGGTAAGGTATTATAGAACTTTTATACTTTTGTTTGCGTACATGGATTTTAATGTGATTACGTCTCGTTCTACCAGAAGATATACAAGGAAAAAGATAAGAGTGAAGAGGATGGTTAGTATCTAATAAGATAACATCTGCCAGGAGTTTGCATGACTTTAGATGTCTATCCACAACCATGTTAATTATGACCTCGAAAGATTCACCACACACCTTGTTAAGTGCCTTCAGCACTTTCCAGCAATACAGCAAAAGTCTTTCCTCAAAAGCCCGGGAAAGAATAATGGAGAACAGTAAAGAATAATAGGTAATATGCAAGGATTGACAAATTGTACGAGTAAATGACAAGTAATCCCAAGAGCATGCAGTCTCTTTATGTAGTAAGTCAGACGGAAAACTTTCTTCGATAACAATAAAACGTGAGAAAACCAAGAGAGATCAGAGAAAAAGGTAACACCAAGATAATTGACCTTCGACACTGTGTTTATCAAAGAGTCTCCAATGGCACAAGCATTATGGGATCTCAAAGTGGTGTTTACATGCCATTCATGTCTCATGTTAAAGTTAGCAGCTTGACATTTAGACGGATTAATTATGAGACCATTAACAACAGACCAACAATCCATACGAGACAAAAACTCATTCATTTCAATGGGATGTAAAGAGTTAGAGATAGGCATACGTACAATGAGATCATCCGCATATTTCACAAAAATGTTGACTGTGTTATTGCTTATATTCTGCTAAAAAGAGTACAAAATAGGCTACCAAGGATTCTTTCGATTTAGTTTTTGATCTTTATTTAATATGATAGATAGGTAGTTTTCGTCTCTTTCAAAAAAATATATAATAACTCGTTTGATGTAGAAAGTTTTTTTATGTCATCAATTACATCACCGAATATAGTTCTATTACAAATCTAATGTTTGTTTATTTTTTACGAATGATTCACATCAGATTAATGCTGTTTACCAAGATGTACTATATTATATATTAAGAACTGATTCTCAATAAAACAAATTGTCCACAGCAACTGATTTACACTCAATGTGTGAAGACTAGTAACACTACTCAATTAAGTAAATAAAAGTAGATGGGATGGGATTCTAATCTGCTACTAAGGCATTAAAAAAAAAATATTATAATTATCCTAAAACAAAAGATCACTGAGTTGGATCAATCAACATACATACTATTATAATATAAATAATATCTTGCAATGATCTGGAAATTTTACATTTTCGATAAAAACTAAGTCTTCAGACATAGAATATATAATTAGTGAATTTCAATTAATCACTAAATATGAATATTAATAGGATTAATTCAACTAGATTACGATTTATACTTGTTATCAACAAACCACGAAATTACTTACTTACTTACTTACTTACTTACTTACTTACTTACTTACTTACTTACTTACTTACTTACTTACTTACTTACTTACTTACTTACTTACTTACTTACTTACTTACTTACTTACTTACTTACTTACTTACTTACTTACTTACTTACTTACTTACTTACTTACTTACTTACTACTTACTTACTTACTTACTTAATTACTTAATTGCTTTCTTACTTACATACTAATTTACTTACTTACTTACATACTTACTTACTTACTTACTTACTTACTTACTTACTTACTTACTTACTTACTTACTTACTTACTTACTTACTTACTTACTTACTTACTTACTTACTTACTTACTTACTTACTTACTTACTTACTTACTTACTTACTTACTTACTTACTTACTTACTTACTTACTTACTTACTTACTTACTTACTTACTACTTACTTACTTACTTACTTACTTACTTACTTACTTACTTACTTACTTACTTACTTACTTACTACTTACTTACTTACTTACTTACTTACTTACTTACTTACTTACTTACTTACTTACTTACTTACTTACTTACTTACTACTTACTTACTTACTTACTTACTTACTTACTTACTTACTTACTTACTTACTTACTTACTTACTTACTTACTTACTTACTTACTTACTTACTTACTTACTTACTTACTTACTTACTTACTTACTTACTTACTTATTACTTACTTACTTACTTACTTACTTACTTACTTACTTACTTACTTACTTACTTACTTACTTACTTACTTACTTACTTACTTACTTACTTACTTACTTACTTACTTACTTACTTACTTACTTACTTACTTACTTACTTACTTACTTACTTACTTACTTACTTACTTACTTACTTACTTACTTACTTACTTACTTACTTACTTACTTACTTACTACTTACTAACTTACTTACTTACTTACTTACTTACTTACTTACTTACTTACTTACTTACTTACTTACTTACTTACTTACTTACTTACTTACTTACTTACTTACTACTTACTTACTTACTTACTTACTTACTTACTTACTTACTTACTTACTTACTTACTTACTTACTTACTTACTTACTTACTTACTTACTTACTTACTTACTTACTTACTTACTTACTTACTTACTTACTTACTTACTTACTTACTTACTTACTTACTTACTTACTTACTTACTTACTTACTTACTTACTTACTTACTTACTTACTTACTTACTTACTTACTTACTTACTTACTTACTTACACCTGTTACTCCTAATGGAGCATAGACCACCGATCAGGATTCTCCAACCCACTCTGTCTTGGGCCTTCCTTTCCAGTTCTATCCAATTGTTCTTCATTCTTCTCTTATCTGTCTCCATTTCTCAGCGTAATGTGTTCTTTGGTCTTCCTCTTCTCCTTTGGCCTTGATGATTCCATGTGAAGGCTTGCGTTGTGATGTAGTTGGGTGCTTTCATCAATCTGTGTCCTATTCACTTCCAGCACTTCTTCCTGATTTCTTCCCGTGGTGCGAGAAGGCAGTGAGTAGGACTTCCCTGACAGAGGCTATATACGCGTGACCATATGAGAGCATTTCGAGAGGGAGAGCGGACTTTCCCCACTCTCGGCCGTACCAGGGCATTTGGAGGCAAACCTGGAAGCACTGGACGGCAGTTTCGTCCTATTGTGGGACTCCCCAGCAGTGCGCATCCACGACCTGGCCCCCCTGCGAGATTCCAACCCAAGACCTAGTGGTTTCGCGCGCGAGTACTTAACCACTAGACCACTGAGCCTACCAACAAAACCAAAAGAGATAACCAAAGATCTTTCTGACAATTGTCTAAATGAATGCAACTATTAAAGAAATCATTTGTATTCATACAGTCCTCTCTTTTATGTTATCATTTCAATACATCATGTTCTGAGTAATGACTAAAGAATTCGATACTGAACTGTTTTTTTAAAAGAAGTTTTAATAGTTATTTCATATTGTTCTTTTTTTCTCCATTACAAATACTCCATCTTTAGTGTATTGAACAATTGCATTATGGAGATATTTTAAATTCAGCTCAGTCGGATGTTTCTTCTGTAGCAATGCCTCAGTCTATTCGGTAAGTATATATTTGATCAGTATTATTATTATTATTAATAATACTATCACTGATATTTCCATTTTGTATTGTTTGTTTGAATCTTCCCATTGATGTTTAAAACTGAGATTGATCAGTCTTTTATTGGCATATGTACATCCTGTACGAACTGTCTCCATATTGCTCTGAGTCACAAGCATTATAAGCAATTATAGATGGTAGCTAGAAGTCAAACCCAGGACGCATGTTTCGTTTTATTTGGGACTCGTTAGCTGGATGTACCTGCATCTTAGAATTATTATTATCTTTAACATTAATATTGTTATTGAGCGGTATTTTGCACATCAACATAGAGTGAATTTATAATCTACTAATGACCTTTATGTAGTCTTGATATAACCCTCCGACAGTAAACCCAATTTCCAGTCAATCAGAATACAAGGAGTATAAATGAATAATATGTAACGTAGTGTGCCCACAAAATTTCTGATTTTAGGGTGAGAGTCAAGGTTTGAATTTGTGGTCGTGGTTAGGAATCGGAATCAGAAACAGAATTTACGGTCACGATATAGAGTAGTGGTTACGAATTGAGTGAAGAACCTCTTGTGATTATATGGAAGAGCAATTATATAGTTTGTTCTTTAATTTTAAATATCATGAACTCTTAATTTACCCTTACGACTTCTTTTGTTTAATTCTCCTGTGTCCATCGATTACAGACATTTTAGTAACGAAATACTGGTAGTATTCAATCAGCATTTTATAAAATGTAAACTGTCGTGTGAACCTAACCATCCTTTTTCCAATGTTAAGAAGACTAAAATGTCTAGCATTTTCGATTAAAGGAGAGGATGACTTTCACTGAGGACTTCGTTTCAGTCATCTGAAGAGATCTACATCTGTCTTCTTTGCACATGCCATCGATAAATATCCGGACTCGCTGGATGGGAAAAGCAAATAATGTGAAACTTATGGATCAGAATACAATCCTTAGTGAGAATTATACCCAGTGCTCACCCACTAAATCAACGGAAAAGCCCTAGAAAACACTTGATACCGAGTACATATTGAACATTTAATATACATCCGCTGCTAATTCACAGACACGTACCCTATCTCAAATTATACGTGTTACGTTTTTGATCCATCTCCCAACAATACACATGAGAGGACTGGTTTAAATCTAGGCTAAAGCCTTGACACGACAGGCTAACTAGTTCAACCTTGACGCTAATAATGCCCATGTCCGAGGCATGGACGAAAACTATTCTGTCACTTGATTGGATGAAATGTGTATGAAAGAAAGATGAGTCGACTGCGACTTTACTCCATTGATTCTTGATTCTGATTAATGTGGAAAAAACATAAACAAATAAATAAATAACACGACCACAACACACAAACAACTAGAAAAAATAAAATTATGTCCACACTAAACATCAGGGTAGAAAAGTGAAGTACAAAGGGTTACGTCTAAGTTACAATAATTTTGTCTTGAAAAAAGTTGTGGCAGTGAATCATGGATCGAATGAAAGCTTGCGTTCTATAGAATGAACCAGGAGCAAAACTAAATGTTAGTATTTTACAAACTTTGAATTCAGTGAAATAATTTTCCCAAAAATAACTTCCGTTGTTCGTCTTCGGCTTCTTTATTTCTCTGTTCACATCAATATGTTATCGTATTCTGGATTCCATACAAAATTTCGTTAGTCGCTACCTTAAGTCAGTATAGTATACTTCTACTTAATTGAGTTATTAAGTACACAAAGCCGATGATTTAATTTACAGATTAGGAGGGGATATAATACAAATTATCACAGCAATTAGTAATTTTTACACAATTCACTATCTTTTATATTCGGTCGTCGCCAATTGTTGTGCCGGAAAAACAAAAAGCGATGATCACTTATACTCGGAACGAGGGACCTCAGCAATTCCCACGATGCGAAAGTAGGAACACAAAGACTGATATAAGTGATGATTTGTTAGCCCCAAACACGACGACGACGACGACGACGACGAATCAAAATAGTCTTGAATACACTGGTTTATATATTCATGCACACCCATTTTTGATTAACAATTAGGATGAGATCACATACTCAGTTATAACAAATCACTTACTGAGCATAGTTCATGTTAAGTGAATACAAGAATATCTCGTTTATTATACAGAAGAAAATATCATACTGGGAAAACAAATCAAATACTACACTGAATGATCCTCATGTTGAATCAAAACGGATGTTGAATGTTGAATAAAACTCATAATGAGTAAATCAATCGAAAATTGATTTTTCTTTCCATTATATCAAGCAATAATTAATCTACTGTGTAGAACTCGGGTCCTAACACTTTCCTACCTACAAATGATTTAATTCAAGATCAAACGTTGGTAATTAGCTTGTGTAATAAAATGAAATCTCATCAATACTAAATTTCATCTATCTTTTATACATCAGTCATCATGAATCCTTTAAAATATCCATTTACGTCGAGTGGTTATGATAGAGTAGATTATTGTTATGCCAGATGAAAACAGCGTGGTTTTGTTGATTAGGTTGAATTATATTGGGTCCTGTGTGATAGAGCCTTAATGACAGGAAACCAGTTCTATAAACTCTCTCTAATCCGATTATATATTAGTTCACCTATATTTCTAGTGGAGCCGATGGTTTTCTGTTTACCAACTGACATATCAACCAGTGAATAACGAAGACCTTAATACTTGTTGGTCCTCAAACTCCTTCTAACCTAGTAACCAATCAGAAGACGAAAGTAGGAGGCAAATCAATTCTCTTTTGCACTCAGTTCAACCATTACTCAAAGTTCATACAATAATATACTGGAAATGTCTGATCACACAGCAGCATAATTACAAATTTATAATATGTACATAAATTAGTGATCAGCCCTAATGCATTGGTGTCTGACAAAATCTGAGCACGGATTCGTAAAGCTCGTCACCTATGACGAAGGCGAGATATCCGTCTATCAACAAAAGGACGAGTATACTGCACAGCAGTTCATTCTGTTCTACTTTACGTCTACGAAACGTGGCCATTAAGAGTAAAAGATATTCATAAGCTACTAGTATTTGACCACAGATGCCTTAGAAAAATTGCTGGTGTCTGCTGGGATCACCGGGTAAGTAATAGTGAGGTTAAACGCAGGATATTAGGGAATGATGGTAAATCAGTTGATGAGGTTGTAAATGTTCGTCGACTGAGATGTTTGGGTCACATGCTACGTATGACTGAACACCGATTACTACGACCCACAATGCTGACTAATGTTGGGGATGATTAGAAGAAGGTTAGGGGTGGCCAAACCAATACGTGGCATCAGTGCTTGCAGTCACTAACTTCTAGTCTGAGCCATGTTGGTAGATGCAGACTACTTGGTTTGGATCCGCGTGACTATCGTAACCAATGGTTGGAGATTCTGGATGACATGGCCCAGGATCGGTCACAATGACGTATGTGTATAAACACTTTGTCTTCTTTTAAACTATGAAATTAAAATCACTTCATATCTTTCCTTCTACGAACTAATTCTTTCTTCCTGTACTATATCCTTATATGCAATCTTTCTTATAAATAATACAACCACTGAATTAACTACTTTTATGAATCCGGTGTCCATCTTGTTGTGTTAATGCTGTATGGAAACTTGGACTGATGCATATATGTGCCTGATCCTACGTTGTAGCTTACTGACTGACATAAATTAGTCATAAGTAATACAATATCAGAGTAATACTGGAATAGTTAATCAATGACAAATCTGAAATAATAAGACATATGACATTGATTTATAACTCAAACAAAAGCTTAGAAATAAGAGAGTACAAAAATACAACAGTTTAGAGGTCTAGCAAGTACACAATAAAAGTATAAATAATGATCTTTTATATGGTATATCATTTATAACGATAGTAAATACAAATTCTTCACTGAAAATATATGATTTTAAAACTCATCCCAGCATTAGACTCCTCCGCTGTTTCGACGAGACTATAATTTATAGACGAACTAATCAGATTCAGGATAACAGGTTTTGGATTTTGGTGCGTTTTTGCATTATAGCTTTAACCGGGTTGGTGGACATGGAGAGTCCACCTACGGCAGTTGGAAGACCCTGATTCCAAACCAATGGTGCACATGGGCTCCAGTATCCTGAAGCAACAAATGGCGCAGGAACCTATCGTTGATCACCGGCTTCCATGGGACTGCATCTCCTTACGTTGCTCTACTGCCTTGTGGATCAGATCTTTAGGTTAAAGGCTCGGTGAGTGGCCTCCTAAGAAAACCACCTGCTTCGGTTTGGGCACCCAGGCAGTATCTCAGCCCTCACATAAATCGACTGATTTATGTGGCGCATGTCTATTTGGTGCCTTTTTGTACCAATGTGTATGTGTTAAAATAAATAATAATAATAAACATTATAGCTGATATCAGTTCGTGATGAAAATCCTTAATCTAAATCCTAAACTTAACAATCAACTGTAAATTACAATGTTTATTCTTCACACAGGTTTACAATACTCATTTAGCCTTAGTTAGTAGGTGTACATTCCCAAAGACACTTACCATTGCTCAAAAAATCATCCATAAATAATAGTCTCACCGTGATTTCCATTAACGACCCATCCAGGAACGGAATTCAGAACCTTCAGGTTTCGGGACATGAACTCTGAGCTATCATCCCATGTTACACATTTTCAATCATGATTTTTAGCATAGTACAATGATTAACTAATCCCACTGATGATTATTTGATTATGGACATGCATAAACAAACCCCGTGTTGAGTCGGCTTCCGGAGAACTTCAACGGAACCTCCAGAGGTCCAAAAGGAGCCGAAGAGTCCAAGCCAGTCAGAGCATGATGGAACATTCTAGAATTCCAACGTGGCGTGCTACTATTGGTCGGTAGCATGATATGTCGTTAACGGACTGGCTGAAATATGATGTTGATTTAACAGACGCCAACATCTATAAATACCCATGATTTTCTGTACAAAAATGAACCTTGGGATAAAGTATTTTCTCTCATACTTACGTCTTCTCTCTGGTGGTCAGGTCGCTGTGTAGTTCTAGCGTGCGGGTCATCGGAATAGCTTAGGAAATAAATATAGCGTTCAGTCGACAAGACTTATCACCCCGGTAACAACCTATTGTAAGATCATTGTGAAATCATCTCAACTTATGTGCTTAATGATATCTCCAACTAAGATCAATCTATGATAGATACAATTTTAATGTATAAAAGAAATTGGAAAATGTTTTCCAGTATAGTGTATTCAAAATCAATCAATTGGAATGGATATGTAATTTGAAGAATTCAAATTTTTGTTTTAACCAGTTACTACCACAAACTAAATCATATTTAACCTTATTACTATTTTATTATTATTATTATTAGCTTTATTCAATATTATAATTTTGATACAATACAGAATTCTCAGCACAAAGTATTTCAACAAGTTTCCGTTTCTTTCTTCTTAGTCGATCCTGACGATAAATATTGAGTGATCGCCAGTTAGATGTTAGCAGTCCAGTAAATGAACATCTGAATGATGTACATTCCTTTCGTTGTATATTGCCAGCAACCGCATTGTCTTTCATTGGGCTTTTTGTAACTTTGACAACGAAAGGTTGTACACTTTTCAGAAATGCACCAGGATAGGTTATGCGATTAATAGACATAATGATGTGTTAAAACAAACAAAAATAGATAACTTGATGAAATGTTTAGATGGCAGGAACAGGTAGCCTAGATGCTCAAGCAGGCCGCCTATCTTAACTCGAATCCTTTGATTCTGCTTAATATTATTGATTGTTTACCTTTTTTGTTTAAAAACCAATAAAATAAAAGTAAATCTCTCATTTTATTTTATATTATTATTATTAAAATGTTTAGATCGGATCCGAAATTGTTTAAAGATGATGTAGATATTAAATTTAGTCATACATTGAATTCATGTAAAGTACCACAGGTAAGTAAACAAACACATTTTGAATCATATAGATTTAATTTAATGGTTTATAAAATTTGCTCAATGTTCTAGAATTTATTCTGAGATTAGAATTTGTGGACGATCTTTGAATGATACCAAAGTAACCTTGAGAAAACCCACCCACCAACTAGGTTCTGAACTGACTTACTTACTTACACCTGTAACTCCTCGTGGAGGAGCATAAACCGCCCACCAGCACTCGCCATCCAAACCTGTCCTGGGCAATCTTTTCTAGTTGATTCCAGTTGTTATTCATCCTTTTCATATCTGCTTCTATTATCCGACGTAATGTGTTCTTTGGCCTTCCTCTTTTCCGCTTCCCTTCACGAGTTTAAGTTAGCACTTGCCTCGTGATGCAGTTTGATGATTTCAGTAAAGTATGTCCTATCCATTTCCATCATCTTTTCCTAATTTCTTCCTCAGCTGGAAGCTGGTTTGTTTTCTCCCACAGAAGGCCGTTGCTGATGGTATCCGACCAATGGATGCTGAGTATCTTGTGTAGACAGCCATTTGTAAATACTTGTACCTTCTTGATGATGGTTAGGTTCGAAACTGGGTTATAGTTTATTGTGAAGAATCAAGATTAGTATTTAGAGTTAAAAGTTATGGCTAGAGTTTTCATCATAAATTGACATCGGTCTATATGTCGAAATGCTATTTGACCATGTGGATGAATGTATTTCACATCGAAAATCCAAGACTTATTATCTTAAATCCGATTGATCTGTCATAGCCGTATGGATGATTTCCTCTACTGCACGCATTACGATTTTACAACCACTGAACCTCTTTCTAATCTTGACAACTTTTTGAATCACGTATAAGAAGTGTATCCACTTTATTTCCTTGGTTTTGTATAACACATTTTTACTCTATACTGACTGTTTTCTGATTGACTAATATTTATCAAGGTCATTTAAGATTCGTTCAGAGGTCGTCCATAAATTAGAGTCGGCGATAGAAACATATTGATATAACACAGACGACTTCAAACGAAATCGAACTTAGGTGTTATGGCGTGTGATTGCTAACGAATATCATGTGTTAATTCATTAATTAGAAAATTCTAATTCTAATCTTTTTTCCTTCGTGTCTACTATTTCCTCAATGACCTGGAACCCCCATATTGACCAATTACACGCCTGATCAGCACTATTGACCCTAGGATGAAAGCTAAGTTCCTATTGATCAGTTGTTCGTAAACCCCTTTCTACACCACTCATACTCTAACTTTATTATATTTTAAATAAGCGTGGTTTATGTACCGATATACTAGACCGCGTTATACCATAAAATAAGAAATTACAAATATACATAAACGAGCCAAAAGTGACCGTGAATAAGTGATTGGCAATGAGTAATATAACGGTAGTCAACGTGTTACCAGAAGCTTATGACAATTGGGATAGAAATTCATAATAATTGATTTATTCAGTAATTATAGAACAAGATGATAATAAATGGTAATTCAGAAAACCGGTTTCAACTTTCACAATGTTCTTAGCATTATAACACTAATTCGCTGCTTTTAGACTATAAATTCGGGACTGTATTCTCAATGTTTGCAATCGTAGTTAAGTTATAGGGATTGTCTACTTAGTCGGATCGCTATTCTGTTGAATCCGTGAATACAAAGTTCGATTTATGTTTATGAGACCATTGGCTTTTGTTTAACCAAAGTGCTCACTAAGTGTGTTGATGACTATTGGTCTATTCAGATAACTTCTTTCTCAAACTACTCACTCAAAGCAAGAGAACAACAAACCTAGTTACTTTCCTAATGACACGAAAGCTCATTATATGTATGCTACAAACGATAATGCACTACGAATTGGAAACCAATAGAAGTAAATATCTAAGTCATTCGTGGGAAAAATAGTTGAGAAACTGTGAAAACAGTCTACGGATGAACTCGAGGAAGCCCTAAGAAGCTCAGAAAGAGCTACAGATATTCCATCTAATCATCTTTTGGAAGAATGTTCCAGAATCACCACATGGAACTGTTAATAAATGAAACGAAAGCTTAAAAGTAGGGTAATATAAAAATACAGTCAACAAAATAGTCAGTAAACCTACAATAAGAATGTAATTAATAATTCATCTTTGAAAAGTCATTAATGTTCCAAATTACCCATTTATTCTTCATTATCCTACATTTATATGACTCTTCTTGTTCGGCACTTATAAAGTAACGTAATAACACTTAACGTCCAATGTTAAATAAGGTGTACAAAATTGACATACTATATCTATACTGTTAAGTGAATTAGATCAATGGTAATATTTTGTATGACGGGTTTACAGAGATTATTGAACTCTATAGTTTATGCTACAGACTGACTTTAGTTGGACAACAGTTGAAAGCCAGGAAGCATTACACAATTTTTTCGTTCTGAAATGGGATTCCGAGACAGTGATGTGTGCTACTGATATCGATAGATATAAGTAGTATGTACCCCCAATCGGAAGTGGAATGCCTGGAGGTAGAAGGTTGAGAAAATCAAAGAGAACGAGAGCAGAGAGTGATTGTTATGGAAACGAAGGAACAACAAAGTCTGAGACAATCGATGGATATTTTGCAAACGAACCATTTACTTTATGATTCTCAGATTTTACTAAGACATTCTGTAATGTTGTATTAAAATACATTCGTTTGTACTCAATTGTATTCTGGTTCACTACAGTGTATATTTATTATCACATCGGGAATCAAGCCTACGACCTTAAAGTCTTTTGTTGAATTCTAAAGCTTTAGAAATTTGAGTTGACACCCAATGGTATATATGTCTAATTTAAATCAGTCTGTGATATTGTCCAGTGATCTTTATTATGTTATTGGTGAGTAACTGCCTCACATACTATATAGTCGAATTTTACTAGTCATGGCCACTCGCTAGAATTGCGGATTGGATCTCTGGTGGCACTATGGATATGCATTTCTGAGTAGTCCCATACTAGAATGAAAGAGCTGTCTAGTGCTTCCTTGTTTTCAATGATTGTCTAAGATCAGTCCATAATATAAACTTAATAATTTTTATTGTTGATGATAATCTACTGTTTAAAGTCTTTTTCCTGTTTAATATTTTCCTATCTTTTTTTTAATGTCAGATTCGTTATGCAACAGTTAGTCGTTTACTTGATCGACTAACTGATGCCAGATTCTTATCCATAGACTTTTTGAATACTTTTCTACTTACCTATCGTGTATTTACCACTGGTCTGTCAGTGATATGGGCATTAAACCAAGTTCTAGCAAATCCGGATGTAGAAAATGGTGGAAATGCACCACATTCTAATCAAAATCAATCATTTACATAGTGAGTGTTTACTACTTCTTCTTCTCGTTGTTACTATGCAACTTTTAAAAAAACTATTTGTTACGAGATATTATTCTAAAATAACTTGTGAGAAATTCTAAATTACGAAACAGTTAGGAGATTCTCCGAGTATTATATGAGATGTTCACTGACTATACAAACTGGAAACCTAATAAAAATGAACTTTAACGATTGTACTTTGCTCGACTGAAGAGAAAGAATTCGGGAAAGTCAGAGCTGAACTAGAGCAAGTCTGTTTATGAAGTAACAACTATAAACTGGGTATACCACAAAAACAACAAACTACAAAGAGAAAGTAAGTGATCAGATAACATCAAAGGTCAGTGAGATAAAATGAGATTCAAAAAGTTATCGAGACCTTCCGTAAAATAGAAGGAGACCAGAAAATTTAAGATTTTAGGTGGTCGTAGAAGAAAGTGAAAATTCAAACAGGAAGTTTCGGTTGTATCAAAACTGCAGATACATCGTGTTATTGAGTGATTATGAACATGAAATGTAGGTCTATATGTTTCCATGCATTAATCTTAAGCATTTAAATTGACACACAGTGAATAATGACGTTTAGACTACTGGCTATATTGATCTGTTTGATTAACGGATGCTGTGGGAATTGATGACTAAACTACACATGACACTAGTTTCTACTCTGCACCTTCAAATAGTTATAATTTCATTATAACCAATTCGCGTAGTGAGAAGCTGGAATTTAGAAAAATTCTTAGGTTTGTTGTATTCTCTTATTTACATCGCGTAATGAATTTAGTTTGATAAATCCTTAAAAATCGAGAAATATCGGAAAAATCATCAACAGTATACATCCACAACTTCTCCAGGAATCGAGCCCAGGACCTTCAGGTCTTCCAGTGAGCTTTCAACCTTTAGATCACTGGGTCAAAATACATTGGTTGTATGTCTAAATTAAGCTAACCTATGGTGTTTTACAACTATCTTCCAGCGCCGTCGGTAGTTCATGACACTCGAGATGATTGAACTTCACTGATCACAGCTTCTTTCTTCTTCAAGTCTCATGATTTCATATATTCCTCAATCTTATTCAGAAATTTATTCACAACCTATATTCCCAATCATATTGATGAAAATATAACGTCGACCTGATGATAGTGCTTGTAGAGCTGTAACCGTTGAAGATTCTGCTTAATATCAAATGTTATTTTGATTCAGATTTAAATGAAGCATCATAACTTTCATCAGTTTCATTATGTTAATTTCTAAGCCATCACCGCCGGAACTTAACCATATCGACTGTGAGACATTTATTCATCATAGGAAACGGATGAGAGTTATGCAACATCGTGAATTGACTGAAGTTAGACATTAACATCGTCGGATGCCAGTCCAGTATCCAAGAAGTCAAGCATTTGTGAGTTAAACCGAAGGTCCTGGGTTTAATCCATGTAAACGAGGTCGTGGATGAGCACACTCCTGATTGTACAATATGTATGCTAAATAACAACAATGTAATACATTCTTTGTCCTTTTTTTTGTTTTTTTTTTTGTGTTTGAAATCTATCCTAAGCTCTCATTTTGAAAATCCTGAACAACGTGATCGATTATATACAGCTAGACCATCAGAAGTTTCATTGAATATAAATCGTTTACCTGTTTTAGAAGAAACTGTACATAGTAACATGGATGATATATCATCAAGTTCAAATTCTATTACACAAATAGAAAATCAATTAGAAACTAATAATACTACTACTAATAATAATATAATCAGTAGTATATCAAATCAATTAATGACAAATTTATCACTAAACAAACAAGATTCATTGATGAACAATGAAATTTCAATCACTTCATCTCCATTACCAACAACAGTTCATTGTACTACTACTACTACTACTACTACTACTAATAATAATAATAATAATAATAATAATAATAATAATAATAATAATAATGTATCAATGAAATTGCATAAAAAATCAATTCCTCGTCCATTATCTACATCAGAAACAGTCAAATATTGTTCACCTTCTATAACAATATCAAATATCATGAGTCAATCAGCAATCAATGATAGTCATAGTTCATCATTATTATTTGATAAACAATCTAATAAACATATAATGAATAGAAGTTTTCAATCATCTACAATTGTTACCATTCCTATTCAAACAACATCTACAACGATGTTAATTCCACGTTCACCTATTTATAGTAAATTTGTTGATTTAAGAGATGATCCACCATTAGAGTTGCCTATTTTACCAGATTTAAAAACAGTGAGTTATTATTATTGATTGGTTGTTATTAACAGTATATTAGTTACAATAGGTATATGTGTATAAGCTTGTACAAGTTTGTATGTATCTGTATACCCTGAAGTAACAAGTCAAGAATTTTCAATTTATTGATTGAGATCTTGAACCGATTAATGTTAGATCACTGTTGGAAACCTGGAAGCACTGGATGGCCTATTGTGGGACTTCACAACAATGCGCATCCACGAGCCCGCTCGCGGGATTCGAACCCAGGGCTTTTAGTCTTGCGCGCGAACCCTTAACCTACTAGACCAATGAACCGGCATCCAATGGTGTTAGTGTCTAACATCGACCAATCCAAAAAATTGCACGACAATCTTCCACTGTACTGTGGTAGATACCTGTCTCTACCGGACACGGATTAGCTTCACTGGTCACGGCTACTGAGGAGTCCCACAATAGGACGAAACGTCCGCTCAGTGCTTTCAGGTTTTCAACACTGGTCTAACATCAAACGGTTCAAGACCTCAATCAATAAATTAATAATCTCCACATACTCTATACTGATGAAATTTTTTAGGATAGGTTTTTTTCCGCCAAATGATGAGTGGCCCAAATCAAAGTCTACTTTGAAGACTGAGAGTGTGGGAGTGAAGTAAGTTAATTACTTATATTTGGAATTTAATCAACTGAGGGTAGATCGGTAGGTGATAAGATCCTTAAAAAAAACTCTCTTGACATTTACCAACTTATGTTAGTTGCAGTTTAAGGGAGATATCAATCTGTTGACCTAAAGGCGATTATACTGCACAGAGACTTAATCTATATTACTATATTGTGGTGAAGTATGGCCTATATAAGTAGATATGCATAGATTGAAAGTATTTACATTATAATTATTGTCAATCAACTCTTTCACTTCACCTATTATTAAATCTGATGTATTTAATCTGTCTCCATTAGTTTGGAACTACTGTGTTAGTTTCATACCTGTAGAGATAGCTGACATTTTAATCAATGTGAGCAGTGACCAGCAGAGTTCAACCGGGTTTGTTGTGAGACAGTAACTCACTGATGACAATGATGGATGTGTCGCTCAATTTCGTGGATTAGTTGAATTTAAACATTAACACCGTTCGATGCCGGTCGGCTCAGCGGTCTAATTGTCAAGTGCGTGTGCGCGGAAGTGGTAGGCCCTGGGTTCGTGGTTGCGCATTGCTCAGGAGTCCCATACTGGTATTTGCAGGTTTTCCATGGTGGTCTAGCTCCAATTGACTCATGATTTTGACTTTACATACTTGATTTTCAGGATGGTAATAATTACAGTAATAGTGATACAAAACTTCTGTTAAACATGGTAACAGTAAGGTAGAATAAACAAAGATATAAAGATTTTTTAGACAGAGTAACTAATATAAGGATGGTGGAGAAGATTTATAGCTTTTGATGGAGTTTTGTTCTATGAACTGGATGGGTTTGGTCATCGAGCTTTCATCGTTCTTCTGAACGACATCATCTACACAAACTTCAGAAGAACGATGAAACCTCGATGACCAAACCATCCAGTTCATAGAACAAAACTCCATAATCATGAGGATCATAGGAAACATAGATAAACCAGTTCAGGGTAGAAGATCTATTAAGAAGATGGAAGGGGTAGCAGATGGTTGTAAAGGAAGAAAGATATGAAGAAAGAAAATAAGAAAGAGAATTACGAGACATTAGGACCATGGTAAAAGAAGAGGTTGTACCATTTCCTTTTGGATACACAATTCTGGTTTTCCCTGATATATGGCTATTGATTCGGCAATGTTAAAAAGATCCAATATAACTGCCTTTGGCAGCCTTCTACTTACCTTGTTGATGATTTTGAACACAGAGTCCTCCTTGATTAAGTGACCTATGTTCCCAAGATATTCGATTATGAGGCTTTTTGTTGAACCGCTTCCGTCTCCTTTAACCATTCATGGTAATGTTCTCGAATTATTTTGGATAAAGTACACATTGAACGACCTGGCAAATAACTTTATTTATTCTACTTCACTGTTTAACACAAGTTTATTATCATTATTGCTGTAATTATTGTGATTATAATCATCCTGTAAAGTAAATATGTATATTTGCGATTGTACAGCTTTGAAAATGTATTCACCAAACATAGAACCCTTCAGTGAACTAATCTTTTTTATCGATGTTTCAATGAATATATTCCATTGGCTGAAACATTTATGTTTTTCATTTTCTTTCTCAAAATACTCCTTCTTTGATTAGACGGAGAAAAAACAAAAACAACCGGAATTCAAACAAAAAATAGACAATATCACCTCATCTAATTCATCTTCAATTGAACAAAATGAATCTATGAATAGTGTCAAAGAGCATACACGTTTAGCTCCATTAGCATCATGTGAAGTAATACCAGATGAATCGGAGACAATCAATATTAAACAAGAATCATTCAATAATAAACAATTATCTGTATCTATAAACAATAATGTAAATAATATAGACAATCAATATCAATCTAATCCCGGTATAACAAATTCTCTCAATCCTAATTTACATAATATAACATGTAATCATTTAGATAATCAATTGGATCAATGTAGAACTGTGTTCAATCAAGAGAAACATTACAAGTTGGATCATGTTGAAATAACAAAACAGGAAGGAATTAAAACAGGAGAACAATACAAGCATAATTTATTAGCAGACATATCAAAATCCGATGTGGCCATATCCATTTCATATGAAAATCAGGTAAAATTATGATTAAAAATAATTTTGTCAGCCCTTAGTGCTGTTAAAGGTATGAGGGTGGTTATCACTTCTCGGTTGCCCACATCATAGAAGGGTTGTACTGGAGGTATCTGAAAAGGAAATTGGATTAGAGTTTGTCTTAGTGACCTGAGAGCGTGACCGCAGTACCTGAGACCGGTCATATACAGCCTTTTTGTGGGTAATTTTTGTGTTGGTGCCGTACTTGTTTAGACCTTACCGACGGAGACGGATATCCATGGAATGAGGCTAGGTGTGCATTTTAAAGGTCGATCTTTTCCAACCTCATCCTTCCTTCTGGGAAGGCAGTATTACTGTTATGATGAGAGAAACACTGTACTGCCGTCAGAACTCTATACAGTCAGCAGTACGACTTCACCCTCGGACCTTGGGTTTACTGTTTTTAATTTTACCGCTCATTAACCGATCTGCCTGAAATGGTAAGACCTTGAAGAACTATTTTTCCAGACAGTACATCCCGATCTGTTCATTACAACAAGCAAACTCTACAACCACTTTAAGGTAGTAGCAATGATCGAGATATATTTTTTCGATATTTTATAAATATTAGTACCATATTTATATCACAGTAATGGGAAACCATTTTTACAGTTGATCAATCATTTTGTAGTGAACAATGTTACATTAGCTTAGTCCCTTTAATACTGATGGAGTTCTGTCGATTATGTTACAATGTGACCACTAGCCTTAATGATTCAACATCACATGCACTATGTTTTCACATGGGATGGTTGGAGATAGTCGACAGGAAACTTAATTCGACCAAGGTTCCATACTATTTAGCACCACTCATTTACAAGATGTACCTGTAATTTTGATGTAACTGATTCTCTTTGACAAAGTCAATTCCATGCAACTCAGTACTTCAATTTAAGAACCGCTTCAAATAGAACAAAATCTAAATCTACGATACCCTGTTAATCACATCCAATCACTTAAGAATTCATTTTTATTTTATGAATTCACTTCATATACTTATTGACTAGAAAGAATAACATGAATTATTTAGGAAATACAAACAAAAACGGTGTACATACTTTGGGTGCAAAATGTTCTGATTGAAATTGGGTATAGTGAATAGATGCATATTAGGACAAGGCCCCAAACTATAGAACAATTAAAACTGGTTTTCTAGCAATACTTTTAGTAAAGCGTAGTAAATTTGAAGTCATTCGCTTATTGATTAACTTGAAAAATATTGAAATGTTGATATTATGTTTACTGGCAAAAAGGATTAGCTTGTAGCGTGGTGTCGAGTCCCAGTTGACTATAAACACCGCTACTGAGAAATACGTGCCAATAAAATCAGAAGGAGGAATAGAACCAAGTTTATTTGATTGGCGATCTCGTGGTATCGAAAGAATACCAAGATCGTGCCAAGAAATGGTACAAGCAGAAGCAGCAGAAGGGAGTACATGCGAGCGAAGTCACTAACCGCGAAACAATAATAGAGAATAATGGTAGCACAATATGTCTGTCATTAGCACAGTTAAACAAACGAGCACAGTAAAACAATCACTGGTGCAATTGGTTATGATAATAATTGTTTTCATTAAACCAATCGCGTCCTCGTGATAACAGTAAGTCACTACAGGAGCCCCAGCCAGAAAGGGTTCACACTTCTGATAAGTAGCGGTTTAAATTGTGGGATTGATCGGCTGACGAGCGATTGTAGGACGGAAGAACTGGCGGAACAGGAAAGCGATCGTTGATCGTCGAGTTTCCGACGAAGGTCTTTTTCGGAGAACGGTACCAGGGGCAGTGTGCTGTATTTGTTGCTCAAGTTGGCATACCACACCAGAGTGGTTTGTATCCAGAATCTAAAGATTGCGTTCGTAGGGATGCGGACCAGAAACGCTGCAGACCTAGGACGGAACCACGTTGAGCCGAGGAACCAGAAGCGACCATAACTCCCAAGTTCGAGACCAAGCGTATGCCAGACATTCGAAACCAAAATATCGACTGAGTGCGTTGACAAGAGCATGGGTGGTCAGACCAGCTTTCGCCAAAGTTGACTGAAGTTGATGGTACCAGACGGGAATGGTCGAGGGCGTGGGCTCAGGATGCAGAAAAAATCAAAAAAAAGAGAAACGTGTATCATGCATGTAGTATAAGAATAATCCTACACTGTATCCATCATTGACTGTGCGGTTAGTCGCGAAAGCGCACGGGTAAGCGTACTCAGTGACCAGAACGTGAGACTGTAGTCTCGTTCGTATTTCGTGATCCTGCAATCTCATCCGAAGTCAAGGGCAGCGTGGTCTGCTGATCTGGACGTAAGATTGAAGTCTCGTCCGTAGATGACGCAGATGACACGTGCTGTTGACCGGGACGTGAGAATGAGGTCTCATGTGTATCTATCGTGGGATTTGAAGTAGATGTAAAGATCCCGCTAGTAGATTTGATAGGTCTAGCATTGGGTCTCAAGTTATCTGGTAGGGCACTGTCATCGACGTGTGCTGGTTTGAGACGATCAATGCTGACGATCTCGACGCAGCCATGTCGATCAACCTTGAAGGCCTTTTCGTGACGGGCGATCACGTGAAAAGGGCCTTCGTAAGGTTGTTGCAAAGGTTTGCGTACCAAATCTACTCGTATGAAAACATGTGAACAGGTAGATAACTCTCGAGGGAGAGCGACCTGTCGATGTTGTATTCGAGTTGACACCGGAGACAGCGTTCGCATAAATGCAGACAGTCGATGGACGTAGTCTGATTTACCGAAATCATATCTGCTTCGTGGTGTGAAGAATTCCCCAGGCAGACGCAATGCCGTGCCGTATACAAGTTCAGCGGTAGAGCATTGGATATCTGCCTTCAAGCTCGTTCTGATACCTAAGAGGACGAGCTGTAAGGTTTCGTACCAATTGTCGTTTCCATGTGCTCGCAGAGCACTTTTAAGTTGGCGGTGAAACCTTTCAACTAAACCATTTGAAGCTGGGTGGTAGGCGGTAGTGCGTATGCGTTCCGTACCAAACAGCCGGGTCAGTGAGAATAGTTATTTGGGGAAATTTCTCGAATAAAACGTGGAATATATCGTCACGCGAATGGAAGACACCTAAGATTTGGTACACGTACACTGGAGTCTAATATATTAATATTATTCCTACCGTTATACGTCATGTCGAGTATATTATATATTGAAAAATATTAATATGAAAATATACGACAAACATGGATGACAAACGATAGACTCACCGCAATTGGCTTCCTTGGAAGGTTTGACCAGAGGTTGAGAAGTGTTCGTACTTTTGGGTTCACCAATTGTAGCGTGGAGTCCAGTCCAAGTTGACCATGAACACCGCTACTGAGAAATACGTATCAATAAAATCAGAAGGGGAAGCAGTGTGTGAAATGCCTGGTGGGAGAAGATTATGAAGATCGAAGAGAGGAAAATGAGTGATTGATGTGAAAGCGAAGGAACAATCAAGTGTGAGATAACTGATTGACATTTTACAAATGAAGTATTTACAGTAATAGTTCTCCGATCTTACTAAAAGATTCTGTAATTTCTTAGTTGAATACATTTGGTTGTACCGACTGGCGTTCTCATTCACTACAGTATTGGTATTAGTAGCACTAGTATTTGTACAAAGAGATTTTTTCCATATTATCTACAGAAATTAGTCATTTTAATGAGAAATAGATTGACTACCGACTACTTGGATCATTGAATGTTTATATTGAATACGAATTTTATGTTTGATGCCCTTTTCTTCTCTCTCCTTTAAAGCCAACTGAACATTTAAATATCCACCAACTGAAGAGATTGATTCTAAGAATGTTACAAAGACAAATGAGGAAAGTTTAGATCAATTAACGATGTTGACTAATCAACAACAATTGAGTTTTCTTCATTGGCCATCTAATAATCTTAATCATAGCAACAACAATAATAACAATAATAATAGTCAGTATTCAAAACTAACAAAATCTCCATCATCAATTAATTATTCAAATGATAATAATCGATTATTAGAGAGTTATTTAAATCAAACTATTGGTTCATCATTACTGGCAGCAGAAACCAATACAGATCGGATACAATCACGAAGAAGTTTTGCTAAAGTTCCCGAAGGTAAAGATTCATTTATTAGTAATCATAATAAATTGTGATTTATTATTTCATGCATAGTATCCAAGTTACATTATTGAGGACATTCGATAAATGTATAGTATAAAACTGAATATTCATTTATTTATTTATTTAAATACATAAATATTGGTACAAGGATGCACCAAATAGATATGCGCCACATAAATCGAATGATTTATGTGAGGGCTGGGATACAGTTCGGGAGCTCGAACCGAGACAGATGGTTTTCCTAATGGGCCACACCTGAAGCCTTCGACCTAAAGATCTGATCCACAAGGCAGTGGAGCAACATCAGGAAGTGCAATCTTATGGTAGCCGGTGATCAACAATAGACTCATACGTGTTTTGTTCCTTCAGGATGCTGGAGTCCATATACACAATTGGTTTGAAGTCAGGGTTTTCCAACCCCGTGTCCAACGACCCGGTTAAAGCGCCGAACATTCGCTTTTTGTCCTCTCAATTTCGTAAAACAACACCCGTGGTACGAGAAGACAGCAAGTAGGACTTCCCTGGCAGTGGCTGTATAAGCGTGATCATGTGTGAGCATTCGGAGAGGGAGAGCTAACTCTCCCCATTCTCGGCCGTACCAGGACATTTTGGGCCATAAGACTGAATAAATCAGATTAACGAAGATAACTGGTAAATTTCTGAGTGAAATTCAAAAATGAAAATGAGTAGTATAAATACCTTCGTATCTACACTATTCTTTAGTTCTCAAATAAACCTCAATCTAATCGCATTGCATTAAAAGGCATCAACCAATCAGATAAAACTACTTTGATTTTTTTTTTCTTTTTGCACAATTTTCATCCAATTTTGTGGTTATAGATCATTTTTCAATTCTCGTTGATATTAGTTCTCAATGAAAAATGTAACCTCACACCCCTGATACTAATTATATAGTCCTAGCAACAACCAAGGCAAGCCAATCACCGAAATTCAACAACAACGTAACAGATGGTTAGAATACTTCGAGGAACTCCTGAATAGGCCGGCTCCAATGAATCCACCGGACATCGAAGCAGCACACATAGATCTTCCTATAGATGTCAATCCACCAACTACGGAAGAAATTAGAATGGCCGTCAGACAAATCAAGACCGGGAAAGCAGCAGGACCCGACAACATACCAGCTGAAGCACTGAAATCAGACATCGAAACAACCACAAGCATGCTTTATCTTCTATTCAAAAGATTTGGGAGGAGGAACAAGTGCCGATGGACTGGAAGAAGACAACCTCGTCAAGATTCCAAAGAAAGGAGATCTGAGCAAATGTGAAAACTACAGAGGCATAACACTACTGTCAATACCAGGGAAAGTCTTCAACAGAGTGTTGCTGAACCGGATGAAGGATGCAGTAGACGCCCAACTTCGAGATCAACAAGCTGGATTCCGTAAGGATCGGTCGTGCACAGACAATTGCAACACTACGGATCATCGTCGAACAATCAGTTGAGTGGAACTCATCACTATACATTAACTTCATTGATTATGAAAGGCATTCGACAGTGTAGACAGGAGGACGTTATGGAAACTTCTTCGACACTACGGAATTCCTGAGAAGATTGTCAATATAATCCGGAACTCATACGACGGACTACAGTGCAAAGTAGTGCATGGAGGTCAGCTGACAGATGCATTCCAAGTAAGGACCGGAGTCAGACAAGGCTGTTTACTCTCCCTCCTTTTTCTCTGGTGGTCGACTGGATTATGAAGACCTCAACATCTGAAGGAAAACACGGAATACAATGGACAGCTCAGAATCAATTAGACGATTTGCTACTTAGTTTAGATCTCCTACCAATTGGGACTTGTTGTCAAGGTGTAACTGCAATTTTATGAAAACTGAATAACAGTAATTCAAGGTTTACTGAAAACTATTGTAGTGTCTGGTATCATGTCGCGCACATATGGGTTGTTCTACTTTTTGGACAGGCCAATTTATTTTGACCTTTTCAATTATTTACCTATAATTTTAACTGTTTTCATTTCAGCATGTGTGTATCGCTTACCCTTTCCACCACATGCCTTTAGCTTATTTTTGTCTAGGTATAAATATGAAGTTAGGCTTTATCGAGAAGAGCTGGTACGCTTGCCTTCTCCGGTCTGTTTTGCTTTGCTTTTCCGCTTCTCATTTTGATTTCTGTCTGAGTAAACGAATGCCTGAAATACATTCATCCGATTCAATCTGTATTTGGCTTTTTACTACCTCCATCACTCAAACGGGGTTAACCTAGATGTGACAAGCAGAATTAAGCAGAAGATTCATTTTCCATGGAGTATTCATTTGTTTATACAAATCACAGTCAGATCACGGGCCATTAAAGTAATGAGCCACAATACTATCTCCAAATACCTAACGTTGAAACATAGTGTACACGATTTCAGGTCACTAAGACCAGCGGCCTCATTGTAATTTGTCAAATAGAATTTGATCAGTACTAAGTAGGATTAGAAAAACATAGTATTGTGTACTACTTTGTGATCAGTCAATGTAAATGTCTATGTATTACTGGAAACCAAAATATCCCTGTTATATTTTTATCCACACCATTAATTCTCTCGCTGTGTTCTACGCCTCATTGATAAATTACTCAAAGACCTACTTTCCTGAACCTTGAGTCAAAATATCAGAAACCAGATAGACTATCCCACAACATACATCAATAGATGTTTCACATTACAGTTTTTCTAGGGAACACAAAACTATAAGAAGTGTATACTGAATCGCAAGTCAATCCAACCTAATTGAAAACACTATTATTATTATTATTGTTGTGAGATAGTAACTCACTAACGACATTATAGATGTGTCGCTCAATTTCGTGGATTCATTGTAGTTAGACATTAACACCGTTGGATGCCGGCCAGCTCAGGGTTCTAGATGTTATGCGTCCTCGCGTGCGAGACCAACAGGTCGTGGGCCCGAATCCCTTGGAGCGGGATCGTCGATGCTCACTGCTGAGGGGAGACCCACAATAGTACGGAACGACCATCCAGTGCTTTTAGGTTTTCCATGGTGCTCCAACTTCAATTGACTCATAATCTCAACTATTGAAATTACTATAATATCCACAAAGACCCCTTCTGATATTATTATTATCATTACTTGCTTTTAATTTCCAATCAATATACCTATTCTCTTCTCTTGCTTTGATAAAAAACACTACACTCTAATAACGTATGGCTTACAATAAAATACAATTCAAGATTAATTAGTTTCTTTTCTTGTAATCCGTTTGTCTGTAATTAATACTGTTTACAGGTTCTCGATAAGAAATAATATATCATTAGTAATAATAATAATAACTCCAACCGTAATATGTACATGGATGTAATTACATACAATATACAGTGGATAAAACACCAAGGCAACGAGGATAAAACAATCAAGTAGAATGAATTGTCAGTCAGTTCATAGAGCCAATCACAAAACAGTTTTTGTAAAACGATAATTTCCCATAAAAAATCTAATCATATTACCAAAGTGTAAACAGGTTTCACATAATAAATGAATCTATTAAAATCTTCTACAGATTATTCTGCCACTAAATTGAAAAACAAAACATCGATATGCGAATCTTTCCATATGGGCATAGACTACTTATGTTCTCAAATCTCAAATAGATTTTTATGAACCTCTATATTGTTTCAAGTTAGGATTAAATATTAAGGATTAGGGTTAAGAGTTTAAAGTTACAGTTTCAATTACATACTGACATTAACTATAATGCAAATATGCTGTGTAGCCATATTGATGTATGAATTATGCTCAACAATTTAAAGAGGAACTGTCGGTTAGTTCATTTATAATATAAAGTGTAAACTGGGTTAAAGTCTATTTTAGGATTAATGGTTTAATTCACTTGATATTGTTTTACTTGAATCGTCCAAACAGAACGAAACGCGCGTCCTGGATTCCACTGCTAGCCACTATCCATCTTTGCTTTTAATGGTTTAATGTTAGGAATTAGAGATTATGGAGATCAAGCTGTTACATATAATCTACAGATAAATACTGAGATCATGAAACGATCGAAGTTAGACAACCACTGAATACCCCAAAGCATTGGATGGCTGTTTCGTCCTAGTTTGAGAACTCTCAGCCATGTCCATCCATGATCCTGTACGCGCGATTCGAACCCATGACCTCCTGTCTCGAGCAGCAAACACCTAACCTCTAGACCACTGAGCCTCCATATAATGGTGTTAGTGTTTAATTTCAATCAAGTCACAATATTACATGACCATCTTAAATTGTATTCAGTGGGTAACTGTCTCACACTCGACACAGCTGAACTCCACTACTTAGGGCTTCCCACTAGAACTCCGAGAATTACCTACGGAGAAATAATTGAGGATTTACTCTGTGGTGAAAGCATTAGTCTTTTGATTATCATTTTAAAAGATTTGAATGGTATAAAAAAGTATTTCTACAGTACGTTATACATGACATTTGAATTTCGCTCGAGGGCCTAAAAGTTGCTTTCGTAACTCTGATTAGCTCGTCCCTATATTACACTTTTATCGGTCTCCAGTATAGTCCATTAGTTATGCTTAAACTTATTACAACACTAAATCAAAACAATCCACTCGGGATACATATATGATAACCAAGACTGATTAATTGTAGTTCTGAACTTCAAAGACGAAAACTTACAAGCCCTCACTAGTATCTGAATTCAGTAGTTCACTGAATAGCACTTTGGATATCTGAAGTGAAAAGAACTATGTTGAAATTCTCATTACATTATAATATTATTGATATGTATATAGGTTTATAATACGAATGATTGTACGTTTCAGTGTAAGTGTTCTAGAACTAACAACAATGTGTTATCTCATAGATAGGTTTAATTTGGGTAATGTGCAGACATTTATTGATGTCAAATGATTAGAGTCTTGTTTTACCCAACTTTCATAATGGTTGTCACTCGCTAACAAAGCATATTTACAATAACTGGTGATTCAATTTCGTGTCACTCACTGTCACCTCGTGAAAACTGATTGAAGTAATTA